TCACCTCTACTATTAACTACTCCCCCTTTCTGTTCCTGTTTACAGCAAAACTCTTCAAAAGAGATGACTTGGTACACCATACCCAATGGCTATCTCCCCATAATCTTTTTAAAAAAGATTTATTTATTTATTTGAGAGAAAGAGAGAGAGAAACACAGAGACAGAGAGAAAGAACGAGTGGGAGGGACAGAGGGAGACAGAGAGAGAGTCCCAAGCGGACTCTGTGCTGAGTGCAGAGCCAACATGAGGTTCCATCTCATGTCCCCGAGATCATGACCTGAGCTGAAACCAAGAGTTGGGCTCCTAACTGACTGCACCCAGGTGCCCCCTCCAAAATCTTCCAAAATCCAAAATCCAAAACTCTCTTTAAAAACTCTTTGGTTAAAGTATAACATATCTAAAGAAAAGTGCACAAATCAGTAAATGTGATGCTCAATAAGTGAGTCGCTCTTCACTTACTGAGTGTTACACTCGTGGGGATGCTGGCAAAGCAGAGCATTCCCAGCACCACAAGCTCCTCTCATGCCCCCTACACAGTGCCTGCTGTCCTGGTTTCCAGAAGCACATATCAGCATTCCTGGATGGTTCTCTCTGTTTTCTCCTGAGCCCACCAGCATGGCCTTTTGCTGCTAGCACCCTTGAAACTGCTCTTGCCAATGCTGTCACCAGCCTCCTCATCGCTGGAAGCTTAATGCTTAGACCTCATCTTACATTCCTGTCCTCCCTCAAACACCAAATGTGCACAACCAGGTGCCTGCTAAATGTCTCCATTTGGAGGCTAACAGGCATTGCAAACCTGCCAGTGTCAAAGCCCAGCTCCACCCGCTCCCTTAGAACACAGTATACCCCTCCAGCCAGCAGAACCCATCTTCCAGAGGCTCCTTCCCTTATCTCTGCCTCATGCCCACAACTGAAATCTGTTGGCCATTCTTCCAAAAGCCATCCTGGTCTCTCTCCTTCTCACTGAATTCCCAACCATGACTGTGGTCCAGACTACCCTGGATGATCTACTCTTGGATGATCATACCAGCCTCCAGCACGGTGTCCCTGCTTCTACCCTTGCCCTCCACATGCTCCCCTGATAGAGTGTAGACAGGTGGTGTCTTTCCTCTGCTCAAACACTTCCATGGCTTCCCAAAGAAAAAGCCAAAGAAAAAGCCTGAGTCACTGTGATAACCTAAAAGGCCCTGTGAGTTCGGTCCCCACCTGCTCCTCTTGGCTCATTTCCTCCTCCACACCCAAAGGGCACCTGCTGAAGCCACGCCGGCTTCCACATTATTCCCTGTATGCACCAGGCATGTTCCTCACACAGGGCCACACTGGCTGTCCCTTGGTCCAGGATGCTCTTCCTCAAGAGGTCTGCATGGGTCAGCCTGTAGTTTCATTATGAGATGTCACAGCCTCAGCAAGCCTTCCCATGGCCACCCTATTTAAAAATGTATGCTCCGTATCTGTTTCCAACTTTTCTTCTGTATAATGTATCATTATTGGACACTCTATAAATTTACTTTTGCATGTTCTCTACTTCTCATCATGAGAATGTCAGCTCTGTGAAGCTGCTCCGTTCACTGCTTCGTTCTGCACCAGAGCACACAGTAGGTGCTCAATAAATATCACATGAATCACTGGATTTTAAGGAGACTATTACAGGCCAGGTTGGACTCTTGTTCTTCTAGGTTTTATACGATAGAGAGATCCCCCCCCCCACCCAATTTGTCCAATTCCCTTTGCTGGTGCTATTCATAAAATTCATAATCTGATTCTTAATACCCTTTTCTCATTTAATTACTGTTATAATATTGCAGTTAGTAAAAGAAAGAAACATTTTATAAAATGAAATGAAATCAAGACATAATAAATACTGGAATGTAGACAACCTTCGCAGCAGATGCAGCACATGCAACCCTCTGGCCTGCACAGGTCCTGACCCAAGGCCTCCTCAGGGATGGTCCCTAGCCTCTGTCTCACTAGTATCTGCCCTGTGGAGGTGATTGAGGACGCTGAGGGCAAGCACCACAATCCTGTCTAGAATGCACCTTTCTCATTGCAACCCTCTGCAAGCAGGGTGGGGATGGTGGATTTAGAAGCAAGTACTGCACTTCTATTTTTGTTTGCAAACAGATAATTGTCAAAATTATACTGCAGAAGATTGGATTTTAAGGATTAGAACTATCAATATTTGTATCATGTACCCATAGTTGCTACCTCTCCAATTTCTATACATCATTTAATCCTTTGAAATTTCAGTTTTCTCATCCATAAAATGAGGATAATAACGGCCCACTTTTCAAACTCATTGCAAAAATTAAATAGAAAAAAGTGTGTGTAATAACCAGCCCACAGCACTCACTCAGCAAATTAGGGATTCATTTCTATCCTCCACATTATTCAGAAGCATCAGTTCCTAGATGGATCTCCCCAAACTGCACAGAACACTTTGCCCTCCATAAATTGGTTTATAAAACCTGCTTGCATTGAGAGCTGGATTGAACAATTAATGCAGCTGGAGAAAAATAAGGTTGGGGATGACTGCCATGCCCATTCCTCCACGGGCCTCCATGTCAAGTCCTCCATCCTGACGGCCCAGCCAGCCACCTCATCCAGAGGTGGTTCCGCACCAGGCCCTACTGGGAATCCCAGATCACTGCCAGCCATTCTAGCCTTAGGACACCATCTGACCTCACTGCCTCCAATTTCATGCTTATAGAGTTGTATGATGGTAGTGTTGAGTCACAGACTCAACTGTGGGTCTGAGTCTCAGCCCAGGGAGAAGGATCTGGACACGGGCCATGTGAAGGGCATGCACCCACACAGAGCTCTCTATGAAACGTGATACTTCTTCTTGGCTGGGGTTCCACTGAAGGAAACCCGTGCTCATAGCACTGTAAAAGGAGGGACTGGGAGCCTGGGAGCCAGAGGGACCCCAGAGCCCCTCTTCTAATTCCTCTGCCGCAGACAACCCCTGAACTTCTCAAAAGTACTTCTCACTCAGAGCATTGTGATCCAAGGCTTCCATAGACACTGCTTTGCACATTCGACATTAAACAAATAATCAGAATGGTCTTTACCACTGAAGGTGTTAAATGTCATGATATATCAGCCCCAAGTAAGAGGTTCTTAAGTTGTGAAGAATAAAATTACTTTCTGAGAAAGAATCTAAATGCCAGTCTTGGCAATTGGGCCTCAGTTTTTATTAAGTGAACATTCCTTCGAAGACTCTGTGCACAACTCGCAGAGAGTACTCCCCACCTCCTGCCTTCCAGCCTGGGTGGGTAAAGAGCTTTCTCAGCAGGGTTGGCCCAGGAGGTGGGGAGTGACCCTCTCTACCTCACCACTCCAGATGGCAGAACCAGGATGCAGGGGAGTGAGCTGATGTCACACATGCAGCTCATGGGAAAAGCCGGAATGGCCTGTGATGTGTGATGTGTAATAAACTGATTTTCTGTGCCCCACACCCCTGTCCCTCCCTTTCTTAGTGAAACTAGCCTGGCCTATGTGCAGCATGCTCACCAAGGTTCAGAGTACAGTTTACACAGGAGCGGGCAGGCCCCAGGCCTTGGGGGTCTTCCTCAGAGCATGTTCCACACACTGGGGGCATCTGTGCACATACCTCTTTCCAGATCTTACTGTCTTCCCAATCCTCACTCATGCAGTAGGGCTCATGTCCCCCTCCTGGGGACAAGGTACACCTAGGACTGACTCTGCCCCACAGCCAGCCACCCCTATAGTCTTGCTTCTTGGCCCACGCTCATTCCCCCAGACAAGGGAGTCTTTGGCATTTATGGGACAAATTCACAAAAGTGAAGTTCAGCTGGAGCCTCCAGGCCAAGCTGGATATGGAGCTAGGGTTCAGCCCAACCCCAGCAGTGCAGGATCGCTCCCCTCCTCCATCTCACCCACCACCCTCTAGAATCAGGACAACAGAACACTGCTGGGCAGAGCCCTGCTTCATCCCTCCTGGAAGGGCCTCTCCAGAGTCCCTGCTAAGAAGCACCTGCTCTCCCCTGATCCTCTGTGACATCATGGAAGGTGGAGGAGAGAAAGAAAAATGTATCAAGGGACTCTGCTCTCACCAAAAAAAAACAGGGCTTGGCCATGGGACCTGTTTTCAAGCCAGAAGAAATAAATGTTTCAAACACAAGACCTGCCAGAGTTGGCTGTTTGCAGCCGGACCCCAAAACCCTAGAAGCTGGAGACCGAGCCCCGGTCACTGAGGGATGCTGGGCATGCCCCAAGGACACACATGAGTGTGGGTGCCACACTCACCCCGCTGACCCAGGGAGCTGTCTTTCCACTGGTCTGGTTGGGATGACCAGGTGGGTGTGGTGATGTCAAAACACTGTGACTGACAGCCTCAAATGTGTCCTTTTGATGAATAAAAACCAGTACAGGGCCAGTGTCTGCATGAATACTCTTCATTTGCTAGAGAACATTTTTCAAAGCCTGGCTTCCATGAAGAAACAACAGGGAGGATGCTTTGCATGAAAAAGCCCCCCCCCCCCCATGACCTCCAGGAGCCCTCACACTGGAGGAAGGAGAGCAGGACTCAAGGTAGGATGCACCACTTCCTCTAACAGAGCTTTAGCTATGGAGGAGTAGGCACAGGCTGCTGGAAACTAGAACCCATTTTATATGAATGAGGCTGTCCACAGAGAGAACCACCCGTACCCACACCTCCTTTCCTGGTAAGTTGCAAGTCTTTGCCCTGGGCATAGCGCCTCTCAGCCCTGGGTCAGTCCAGCAAGCATAACCCAGGTGCCTCCTCCAAGGCAGAACTCCCAGCACATGTCTGGCAGGAAGCCCTCTTCCTGAAGGCCGCCCGTCTTGCTCTGGGGAACCTGGGGCAGTCCCAGCATTCTGTGTTGAGGCCTCTTGGCCTCTGTCAGCCTGTCCTCTGACCATAAAGTGTCCCACGATAGCATGGGCTACAAAGGCTTCTTGGGTTCTCCTTCTCAGTGACCTGGGTGTGCTGCATGTGGGACCGACCGAGACAGGCTTACCTCATGAGACAAGTAGAAGGCCGCGATACCCAAAGGCCAGAAGCAGCAGAGCATGGAGAAGACACTGAGGCCCAAGTGGTCCCTTGGGGGCATCATGAGAAAGTTGTCCTCACTCTCTGTGTCACTTGAGTAGTCGCTCTGCAAGAGAGAAAAGGGTAGGTGTGGGACAGGAGAAGAGAGCATTAATAACAGAGTCCCTGTACAATGCCCTGGACATGGGTGTTGACCCTGGCACAGAGCAAACCCTCCTGGAAAAGGTCAGTGTTGTTATCACCTGCAAGTATACCTCCCCCTAGAAAGGAAGCCCTTATTAGGAGATCCTTATCAAGAACAAGAGGAGAAAAATACCAAGTACTTGGTTCTTGGGTTGTTCCATAGAAGACCAAATTCTATGGAAGTCCAGTATTTCACAGATCTTTGGGATCCAGTGACACATAGTAGGAGTAGAGGATTAATCTATGCAAGGATGGGATGGTCACTCCCAGAGGGCACACACACCAACATGTGGACTCCTCCCTTTATTCTAAGACTTCAAACCGGTTCACAGGGCTAGGCAGGGCCGGCGTGGGGCAAGGAGGCACTCTCTGAACCCCTTTTCTTTCCTTAGACTCTGATCTGAGTTAGGACACTGCTGAGCCTAGTGTCAGCCCTGGGTGTTCATGCTCCTCTGGAAGCATGAACTGCTTCCGTGAGAAAGCTCCTCCAGGACAAGGCTGCTTGGTGGGCCTGTGGGTTCAGATAGCCTCCCAGAGAGTCTGGTGCAGGAGTTGACAACTGGCACAGGGATTTGTAAAAAACAGCTCAGAAGACTTCAGCACTCACCAGCAATGGGAATCATGGACCCAACATCCCTGGGGAAAGCTCACCAGCTCCAGGATGCTAGATGGCTGCTGTCCTGCCAGCACCCCCACCTCTAGATGCCATGCCTAAAGGACGCTTTTGGCCTCATGGATTATTCCATTTTCTGGGCCCCCATAATGAATTTTCTCTCCTCATCACAACATGGCACACTCAGACTGACTCATTCAAAACCAGGACCAGCCTATCTATGTGCTTATTTTATGCAAAGATGGAACTGCATTTTACTCCAGATTTTCTTTCCTAAAAAAGAAGCGGAGCATTTCTTCCTGAAAGAGGGTCATTAGCTTCCTCACTCCCTTTGCCAGCGCCAGTGGTTGTTAAACATGCAGCCTGAGGATGCAGGGCAGAGGCATTTGGTGCATACTGCAAGCACACTGCCCACTTCCTCAGGTGGCTTCAGGGGCAGGTGGTGACCTGAGGCACCAAACACTCAGGCAGACACCATGTGTGAACACTAAGCTGCACGGAGGGAGGCTGTTGCTGCCAGGACCACCCCAGCAGTGCCTCCATGTGCCTCCCCTGACATTCCCACACACAGATGGACAGACAAAGCCCCCACGGGATCATGGGTCCCTCCCTATTTTGGTTAAGTAAATGCATGTATCACTGCCACTCAGAGCCTCCAGACAGTGTGCAGACAGCCGTGGAGCTGCAGGGAATTAATAGAAACTTCCCTCTAGGGCTATTTCTGTGTAGTTATGGAGAACAGGCAAATTCTGAAGGTCTCATTCAAATTACAAACAAGGACCCCAGAGGGCTCATGCTTGAAGTGGATGATGCACTCTCTATGCAGCCCCCCTCCACCCATCATACATGCACACATGCACACATACTGTAGGGACAGTGGGTCAGGGAGCCAGGAGGCATCCCTTGTCACAAGGTCTGGCTCCTTCCTGCCAGGGAGGCCCTTTGACCCGGGGAGTCACTGGCCACTGGGGTCACATCCCCTCTGTGAGTCTCGAGCCGCATGGCTTCCCTTCCATAGAGCCTCAACTGTGAAATTACTCTTCTTTTCACTCTGTAGCACTGCTTTCCATGTGGTTTCCCAAACAATGAAGGGAAATGAAAATTATAGTCCTTATGTCTGTCCTGGAAGGGTACTAGGCAGCCCCAGGAATGCACAACTCACAAGTGAGACCTGGGACAGGAGGGCTGGTGAGAGAGAAACACACATGTGCCAACCTGCTGGGAAGCCACAATCTTTGATCTGAATGGAGGAGTGCAGTGTTCCAGGCTGAGCCTGAGCATCCTCACGGCTGTGGTCTCCAGACAAGCAGCCACATGTCAACACCTTGACCTCTAGACTCTCACTCTGGATATAGGACTTGGCATTTCAGAGCTGTGGGGGTGGCTTTGCGGCTCTGTCTGAGGAGCTGGCGAGGGCTGGGAAGGGAGCCTACAGTGACAACAGCAGGGCAGGCCATAGCCACGGAGCCCCTGAAAGGGGTGGAAGACCAAGTATAAAGGGACAGCACTTCTCCCAGTCCTAGATTCAGACACTGAGCTCCTGAACTTCCCACCCACAGATCAGGATGCTGCTGGTGGATGTGCTTGCACACAGCCAACAACCCATAGACTATGGATAGTTTAGTTTCTTGGCTTATATTGGCCTTTCTGTTTTAGTTTACTAAGAGTTTTAATATCTGTGTTGGCTGGATTCTCACAGCAACTCTAGAAATAGGTATTGTTACTATTTTTATTGTTATTTCTATTTTATGAAGGACAAAGCTGGGCCCTGAGAGCTAAAAGTCTTACTGAATCACAGAACTATGTAGTCAGTGGCCACTCTTTCCAGAATTCCGTACTGTAGGCTGTGCTGGGCAGCAACCGCTTGGCAAAAAGCAAACCCTACATGGGCTCAATTGCCCCTTGCCCAAAGGTAAGGTGCCTCTCTGCCCCGCCCACCGTAGGGATTCCACTAACTGAATCCAGACTGGCTGTTCCACAGTGATGAGGGGGTGGCCAGTGGCAGCAGTCGGCAGAGAGAGCTTTCCTTGTCGCGTGGCCAGTGCCTTGTGAACTGTTGCCGCAGACCACCTAGGTGCGCTGAGCTCCGACTTCCATTTTCAGAATCTGCTTAGAATTACACCACTAACCCCATGAAGCAAAGAATTAGATTTCAGGGCACTCCCCCAAAATCTTCACAGATTTTTATTTAGAAGCAGAAGGGAATCACACTCTGTAAATTGCAAAGTTGTGGCTACATGGTACCAAAATAATTAGTCAATTTTGATTAAAATAGATTTTAAAAATTCAGACAAATTACAGGGCAGAAAGAAAACAGCCCAGTTCATTTTATGTTCTGTCTTCTGTCGGTGGTTGTTCTGTGGGTATAAGCAGCCATGGGCATCTTGCCACCATATGGGGAGGGGAGGGGAGGGGAGGGGAAGGGAGGGGAGGAGGCCAGCCTAGGTGAGGCTGCATAGATACCAATAAACCAAACAGGGAATACATTTTCTAAAAATCCTCTTCACAGGTCATCAGATCAGAGCACTGCAAGGTATACTGAGAGCATTCCTCAAGGGGGTTTACAGCTCTTGCGGAGGCCCCATTCTGAGGTGGTCAGCATGCAGTGGGCACGGGCAGAGGAAGAAGCTGCCAGGTCCCTCGGCTGTGCCTGTTGCTCCACTGGCACCCACAAAATGGCCCATTCTCTGCCTATGTCCATTGCCTCCACTCAGACTGGCAGCTCTTGTCCACTTGGGGTTTCCTTCCTTTCCCCTCCACTTGGGGTATTTTAATAAAACAGTCATAATGCAAAGCATGATGCCCCGGGGTTGACACATCTGCCAACCCCTTGATGCTGCTTACTCATCTGGAGAGCGGCTCTACGTGGCCCCAAGGGAGAGTGTGGAGGCACACAGAGCAGGATGGGACTGCTGTGGGCCTTGGGCCGGCAGCTTGAATTCAGGGCTCCCCACGGAGGTTCCCTTTCCAGGCATGTAGGGGTGTTTGTGCTAGAGTATTCTTGACAGCACTGTTTAAAAACAGCAAAATCACAAAAGAATTCTACAATGAAGTCTATATATTTATGGAAAATCATGATATTAACATTTATTTGTTGTCCCAGAAAGTTTATAAAAACTCAGGTGAAAAACTAGAGTAGAAAGTGGAATAAGTTATATTTTGTGCAGAATGTCAGAAATTAGATGCTTCTGGATGATGAGGATATTGGTGATTTTTTTTCTTTCTGCATTTCTGTGTCAACAGGTGCGGGGGCCTCTGCCATTCCTTCATTCTCACATAGATCCCCGTGGAATATGGTTTCACTGAGGTGAGGGATAGAGAAATCACATAACGTGGGCACCTCGCCCAAAGAGCAGGTGGCAGAGCAGGATAGGAACACCTGAGCTTGCTTGCGAAGACACTGACCTCACCACTGGTCCCTCAGCCCCGCCTCACTGAGGGTCAAGACCAGAGGCCTCAGAATAGCCAAGACACACATCTGTGTTGACTAGCATGGCAGCCATAGCCATATGGATCTATTTAAACTTAAATTACCTAAAATCAAATACACCAAACGATTAGTTCCTCAGTCAAATTACCACATGCCAAGTGCTCAGCTGCCACAGGAGGCTAACGCCCATCACACTGGACAGCACAGATGTACAACATTTGCAATATCTCAGCAAGTTCTACTGGACAGCACTGTCTTAGAGGATCTGACCACTATTAACTCTAACCTCACTGTCTTCCACCCACAGGGAACTCTCTGCGATTCCTGCAACATGCTCAGTGTGTATCTGCTTCAGGGCTTTAGCACTTGCTATTCCCTCAGCCTGGAACTCTCTACCTCAGAGACACACATGACCAGCTTCCTCACTTCATCTGGGGCCTCATTCAAAGGCCACTTCTCATCATCACCTTCCCTAGATACCCTGTAAGACTATTCTGCGATCCCCTTACCTACCTGCTGTGTCTCCTTTGCAGGTGGCACTGGCTCCTTTACTTTAACTCTCCTCCTTGAAGCATAAGAAGGGCAGAAAATTTTGTATGTTTTGCTCATGACTATCCTAAGAGCCCAGAACATTGCCTGGCACATAATAGGCACCCAAAGCACATGTGTTAAATGAAAGAAGAATTTGCATGTGCATGTAGCTGACATGGACAGTACGAACTGAAGCAGCAAAGCTCCCAGAGTTGGCCCAGATGCGCTGGAGTAACCAGGAGATTCTCTCCATTTGGGCTATTGGTGCCCATGGATATACTGCCTCCAGCCCCGCTGCCCTCCTTGGCTCCTCTTCTTTCCCACTTGGAGTGCCTTCCCTGTGCACAGC